ATCTCAGCAATCACAAAATGCACAACTATTAATTATAAAAAGCCACCACTCTAACCACCCTAAAGTCACTTTTTATTTTGTTGTTTTCCTTTTTATTCATATCAATTTCTACTCCCTGTTGAACTGTCACTGCCCTACTCCCACGCTCAATTGAATTTCTAGTTCAAGTCCAATAGAAGGAAATGTAGTTTACCAATTCCTGGCAAATGTGGCGAAATTCAGTGATTTCTCGTTATTTCCAACGTGCCTTCTACCAGGTAAGTACTGCTTCGCCAGCCTTGCCGTAGATGGTCTGGGCCATGAGTCTCTGGAAGGAGCTTACAGAACTTAGCACTGTGGCTTGTTCATGTGGAGCCTGCCCTGGTGCTTTCAGTGTTGCCTTTCTGCCCTTTTTCCTGGGGCTTCCGCAGTGTGTGGGTAGTTGGGCTACACTCTGAACTGTGGGATCTCCCTGGAAACCAGGCCAGCTCATCATAGCTGTCATAGCTTAGCATTAAAAGGGAGTGAGGTCTGTCCTGGGGTTTTTTTGTTTTGTTTTGTTTTCTTTTCTGGAGCTCCTCTTGCATCAGAAAAATCCCTACGTTGTCTCATCATTTATTATATTCCTGCCTCAGCTCAGAGAACTCCATGCTGGTTTCTTGAATCTGAAAGGTTGAGATTTTTGGTGAGGTGCTACCCCAGGAGCAATGCCTACTTCAGGGTGTGGATCACAGAATGGAGGATATTAACACATTTGAAGGAAAGATACTTTAATAGTTATTAAAAGCTGCCACCTTTGTATTGTCATTTAATGACATCTTTGTATTGAGTCCTATTTTTATTGGCACCTGAAATATTTTGCTGTTGAGCTGTTACACTGGTCATTTTTATTGACTACAAGACGGCCATATCATTTGGTGGTTATAACACAATTTAATCATCTTTTAAATCACTGGATACTAATTCAAAATTTTTAGCTTTCAAACAGCATTGCAATAAGATTTAATGAATTTGGAAAGAAAGGAAGGCTTATTTTGAGAAGAAACTTGAGAAATCAGTTTTATAAAGTTGTCGTGAACACAGTGGATGTGACTGCCTATCTGTTGGGCTTATCTTGCTTTTAATACCATGAATAATTTTGCACAGGAGGGGCTCAAGCTTTTCCCATAACCTCCCTGCTGCCACTTGCACAACCCCGGTATTATGAGGACCCAGTGTTTCAGGAGGGGACTAGAACCTCGGCAGCAGCGAGTGCATGGCTTGAATTATGGAGTTGATAGGACATGTCTGACATGTAGTCTTTGTTGGCTTACATTCAACCGCAGACTTACAGCTTGAAATTCCAGAGCCCTTTCTCAATCTCTGTGAAAAGTTTAAGTAGCTCCTTTTACAAAATCACTCATGGAAAGAAATACACACACTATTTCTAAAAGAACATGGAAAAAACTGGCAATAAGAATTGCCCTCAGGAGGGAAACACAAGGCTGGAGACAAAGGAGTGAAAGAATTTTTCCACCACATAATCTTCTACCTCTTAAATTTTATACCATGAATGTATGTTACAGATTGGAAAGTGTAATTTACTTGCTGGATCTTCAAAACACTGAACAAAGAATAACCAAATGACCCAATAATCCCATTCCTGAATATGGACCAAAAAGAACAGAAAACTAGGACTCAGGCTGTTAGCCAAGGACAGTAATAGTATTCACCGTGGCCAGAAAGGGAAAATGGCCCAAATGTCCACCAGCAGACAAATACGGTATATGCGTAGCATGGAATATTGTTCAACCATAAAAAGGAAAGAATTTTGAGACATGCTACCACTTGGATGAACATTGAGGATGTCGTGCTAAGTGAAATAAGTCACACACAAAAGGAAAATCTGTATGTTTCTACTTATTTGTAAAATTTAGAATAGGCAAATTCAAAAAGGCAGAAGGTAGATTAGAGGTTTCCATGGCTTTGGGGAAGAGAAATGGGATAGTTATTTAATAGTCACAGAATTTCTGTTTGGGTTGATGGGAACATTTTAAAGATAGACTTAATGAGACTGGGCCTGGTGGCACGCACCTGTAATACCAGCTCTTGGGAGGCTGTAAAATAGGCGGATCACTATGAGGCTGATCTAGGAGTGAGACCCTGAACACCGTGTACACCCTTCCCTAAAGTACAAGAAAGAGAAAAGAAACATAGACTTGGTGGATGCACAGCCCTGTGAATGCAGTTGATGGCCCTGACTATATACATAAAAATGGATTAAATGGCAAGTTTTTGTTTGGTTTGTTGTTTTTGTTATTATCATTGTTTTATGAGATGAGGTCTCACTAAATCAGGTGTCTGGGCTGGCCTCACACTTACGATGCTCCCGCCTCAGCCCCTGAGGGCTGGGATGATAGGTATAGTCCCTACACCCCCCACACCTGGCTATCTTTTATATTCTTTGCTACAATAAAAATTCAAACAAAATGTAATTTAAAGAAAAAGCTTCCATGGAGCCTAACCTCTTTTCTACTAGTGACTTCCCTGAAACAAATGTTCTTCTCACCCGATCCCGTCCCCTCAAGGCAAGCAGTCCTGAATGTGTGTTGTCCACAAGGGTCCTCTGCCTGGTACTGCTCAAAATAGGAAGCTGTGCACACTCCCTTCCTGTGTCTCAGAGGTGCTTCTTATCCGATAACCAGCAGCAGACGTGGGTATCAAAGCCCAAGGGTGCCTGGTAGACCTCCTGGCAAGTGTGTGCTGTGCAGTACACAGGTGGAAATGGTTCTATTCTGGCTGAAGCTCCAGGTGGTTGGAGGGAGGGAGTGGCCTTTAGGGGTGGGGAGCACTCAGGCTGAGAGCTCGTGGACTGTGCTTCTTTAGTAGGGACAGGGGCCTTGGAGCAAAGGACCTTCATCCCTCATCACGGGTGTGGGGGTGGAACGATCATACCAGATAGAGAAAATTCCAGAAAGGCAGATAAGGCAACTGGTGTCAGTTCCCGGATGTCCAGTTGGACCTTTAAATTGGCTGTGGGGAAATAGCTTAGGTAACCCTTCTGTTCTTATCAAGCAGACAACGTGGACAGTTTACTTTTTTTTGTTTTCCTCCCAACTCAAACTGTGTTTGCCATCTAGTGATTAATCTGTGCCATTACAACAGCCTCCTTAAAGTTTCTTGTTTCTCTGGCTGGAAGCCTGAGAATCCCAAGTTGCTGGCGGCCAGCCGTTTCTGCCCCCAACTTCATATTGCACGCGCCCTGGTGTGCAGATGGATGGCCCGGGTCGTCGGGAAGGAGATCGGAACCTCACAGTAATCATAACAGTCACAGGAAAGAAAAAAGTATTGAGCTTAGAAATTAAGTACTACGAAAAGTTTAAGTAGGCTTGGACTTGAAAATCAAGTACTGAGTGAACATAGAGCTCTCAGGAATCCTGCTCAGATTTGTTGACTGCAAAGAACACCATCTTCCTTTCTGGGCTTTCTCTTCCTGTGTGGGTTATAAATGGAGACAGGGACTTTCAGGGGTACTAATTAAAGCACAATTATTTTGATTTCTGAGATTCTCAGCACATGTCAAAGTAGAGGCTACCATTTTCTTCTTTTTTGTTGTATCATTAAGTACAGCCCTTTTCCCTCAAAGGTCAGTTGGGAGAGTGGGCCAAGAACTATCATATTACACGTGTAGGGGATTTAAAACTAAACAGTACTCACTCTGAATTCTTAAAGAGCCTCAGGAAACACTGGGCAGCTGCAGCCTCAGAACTCCTAAGCATGAACTCCTGTACTGGAAGAGACACTGACTCCAGTGCCTCTTGTTTGTCCTGAGATCTGGGCTGTTGCAATTGAATTACCCCACAGTTAGAAACTGAAGACCTGCTTCTTGCTTGGCTGTGAGCTACGTACTGCAGATATAATGTTATACCTCTAGCTAGCATGAGAATAATACAGAGGAAACCCTCCTAACCTGAGGTATCTGGAACAAGTTCGTGTTCTCGAAAATCAGAGAATGAATTTTAGGAGCAGTGGAGGTTAAGGGCAGAATATATTTATTGAGAGAAAGAAGGCTTCTGTCCAAGAGAAAGAAGGGGACCAGAGTGGAATGCCCAGGAACCTGTTTTCTAGAGCAAAACCACAAGGGATACATATGGTCTAAGGTGGGAAACATGGGAACTCGCAAGGTGGGCATGAGGTAGGACAAAACTATGGTCAACCAGTGAGATTAATAATTGCTTAGATAAAATTAAATCTAGGACCAAATGGGGAAGCAAGTTAAATAGCAAGGCGGGCCTGAATACAGAATAGGGGATTTTCCTGTAGGGGGTTGGAGTAGTTACTCTTCCTGACTTTCTCAAGGTGATAAAGACCTATTTAGAATATCAATCCCTGATGTTTATCCTTAGAGAGGTATGTGGGTGCATTTGTTTGATCTTGTCTTGAGGTCTGGCCCACAGCTAGAGGTGTCTGGCTCTCTCACAGTTGCAAGGTATCAATCTTATGTTCTGCTCTGGCTCCTTCTAGAGCCCAGCTCTGCCTGACTGCCTATAATATTTCTAACTCAGCTGCCTACAACAATAATGTCTTTTCTGAAACTGTTGTAACCCCACTTCCATGAGATCTGGGGAAAACTTTCTTTCACTGCATGTTATTTTACAAAGGCTATGCCTAAGAGAGAAAGTTAGCCCAGTTCCCACTTTGCTGCCCAGTTGAACTTACTTATTTATGTATGTATTTATTTATTTTGGCAGAACCGGGGATTGAACTCAGGCCCTTGTGCTTGCCAGGGAAGTGCTTATTCCATTGAGCCATCTCCCCAGCCCCCCAGTTGAATTTATTGTTCAGCTTGTGAATTGATAGCCTGGATGCAGCCTCTGGCCACGAGCCCAACAGCACCACAAAAACCAAAAAAGGAGAGAATGCTGTGTGCCAGGCCATTCTCTCTGCCTTTGCAACCATATCAACTGCTTGTCCTTTTACCTGGCAATTTATCTTCATTTGTGTTGTGTTCTGATGTATTTCTGTGCATCTGACTGTTACAGGGAAGGCCGGAGATATCGGGTGTATGTAATAATACCCCTGCTGCCGGGATTTGAAGGAGACATTTCAACTGGAGGAGGAAATGCTCTGCAGGCCATAATGCACTTCAACTACAGGTGCCAAAATGCAAAATAATCTATTTTGAGCTGCATGGAGATGGGGGAGGGAACCGCAAGGTTTCTCAGCATCCTTTCAAGGGAGCATTGCACAAAGGGATATTTTCTCTTTATTTTACTTTCAAATCTTATCATGTTTACTAAATGATAAAATTCAAATGGAATTGCAAATTATAAACAATGGGCCTAATATACATGGCAAGTATAAAGATCCAAAATGTTCTTTTATATATTTATTGCTTGTCAAACCTGTGTAATATTGGTTTAAAATTATCTTTAAATCACTATGTTATACTTGAGCTTTTCATATTCTTTTTATTAGGTAAAATTAAATGTTTAAGATGGTATGATATGAGTGCAATTTTTGATGATTCACTCGCTAGCAGCCTCTGACAAAGTTGGCAATATTAACCTTGGTTGGAAAATGTAAATTCCTATCTCCTGGAATTTTAATTTGATTTTTCTACTACAACTTTGTTAGAATTCTAGAAAAAATGATGAGCTTTATGCTTGGGATTTTAAAAACTCCAGTTACATATACCCTCAGAAAGCCATACGCTTGGGTCCCCTGAGTTTCAAGCCACTTGGTGGAAAGGTGAGAAGTGCCTGCCACATGGGCAGCAGAGAAGGTTGCAGACAGGCACCCCAAACTTCTTGCTCATCTAGCTGGGAAAGACACTGAAGTAGAGAGGTGAGTGGTGAGGCCTGCTCACAAGTCCACTGCTGGTTTCAAGCTCAGTCCTGAGACTAAAGAGCCCACCCAACCCCACATTCCTAGAAAAGCAAAGCCATACTGGAGAGTGACTTCTACTACCGCTTGTTTCCTCAAACTGCCTGTAATTTCTTATTTTTCTCAAACCTTTCTGAGAGGTAGAAGGGAGCCTATAAAATCTTACACAGTACCCTGCATTTGTAAATCAGAGAAGGGCTCAGGCATGTGGTCTAATTGGAGTGGGGCTTAGGTGTCCTCCTGCTTGGATTGCTTCCCAGCAGTGGCCCTGGAGGGTCTGAAGCCACAGTCTGAGTAAGACATGGGGCATAGTTGTTTTTTATCACTAGAAATTGAACCCAAGGCCTTCATACTAAGATAAATTTCTATCTCTTTTCATTTATTGTTAGAATATAGAATCTCATTAAATCACTAAGTCACCCAAGGTAGGCTCAAACTTTTGCCCTTCCTGTGTCAGATTTTGAGAGTGCTGGGATTACAGCCATGTGCCACCATGCCTGGTTTGGGAAATTTTTTAAAAATCCTCTTGGTTCTGATTGATTTTTCAAGCTTATATCTGTCTATCTCCCAGAGTTTCAAGTAATAATTTTACTTGTTTCCCCTAGGGTATGAGAGAACTTTAATTGTACCTTGGTCTATATAATTGGATTGAAGATATGCGCATTTCTAGTTTTCTAATTTACAACATGACATGAAAAGCTCTTCAAATATTTAAGTCCACTGACGTAATGTTTTAGCTGAATTTTACCTGCTTCATTTGCCATTCTAATATTATTCTTGGAATATTGTCAGTTGTAATTATTTCCTATGACTGTTTTCTTGAGTTTGAACCAGTCGAATGAAATACATGTCTGACTTTTGTTCAGCAACCCAAACTATAACCTTTTATTATGCAAAAACATCTCTATTTGCCGCCATCATCCTTACTAATAGCATTTATGAGGCATAACTGTATTTTTAACTACTTTCATAGAGCACACAGATGGAGCATAGAATTGTTTTTCAGAGTTTAGAATTCATCAACTATTATCAGTCTTGAGAAACAAAATCATTAGCACAGTCATGGAACCCTGTACATTTTAGGGAGGTTGCTGATGATAGAGACAACCCAATATGATCGTTTCCTTTATTCCTGAGTTACTCTGCAAGGGTTTTACCCTTTCACCTCAGAAAGCAACATGATTCTGAAAGTATGCTTATCTGTTGAGGCAATCTAAATTTATCTTTGCTGTCACCAAATATGCAAGAAGGAAAGTTCATTCATAACCTATCTTTTAAAAATTAGTTTCTCTTTCAAAAATCAATCATCAATTTCATAACTTTTCCATATACTCACCCCAACACAACTACTTTGTTCTGCTAGTTTCATAAATGATATTCATTTTTTTTTTTTTTGCTTTAGGAAATATGTGTACCACTTATCATAGAAGCACTTGCTCTGTGTTTACTTATGCTAGAATTATATTCACAGATATTGCAGTTAAAACTGGTTGTTTTGAAATCTGCATAATTATTTGTTTGCATACTTTCAGAACCATGTGCAGAGGAGAAAATTCCATCCTTGGACAGTTAAAAACAGAGCGTAAGTAACTTTTTATTTTCCTACATGGGTGTTTTTATTATGAAGATAAGGTACCAGTAAGCCTTAGTAATTTTGCATTATGATTATAGATCTGCAGAAGATTCCCAACAAAAATTATCTACCAAAATAAATTGACAGTATTCATTATTTACCCAAACCAGTGTTCAAATGAAGACACAAAGACTTAGGATACATAGGTAATAAAAATAAAGACTTCATAATTGCTATTTATTTGTTTATATTTACATAATTGTTTCAATAATAACAACCAATATTTATAAAGCAATTCACAAAGACTGTACGTGTGTATTCTTTGCTCATTCTCCTCCACCACCCTAGAGAGCATGCTAGTATCACTCCTGTTTTAAAGATGCCACTGGTTATTGACCTCCTTTGTATGCAGAAGTTCCAGGATTCTAACAATACTTTCTTATATTTGGTGGAGAAAACCCATTACAGAACCATTGAGCACCTCTAACAGTCAGCTCACCTTTGAGAATATTTTTGTAAAGGTAGATAAATAAAGTGAGCAGGAGACCCATAGCAAGAGCTTTCCCTTCTGCTGTTCTCAAAAGTCTTAGCTGAGCCTCCTCCATAGGTCTGGATACAACATGATATAAATTCAGCTTTATTCATTGCTATCACCTGAGATTATCGCTAAGCTTAGCATGCGATAGTTGTTCAATGATGCCCCATAAATCTGTGCTATGAGTACTGAGTGTTCCAACGAGCTAAACTGCAGTCACAGCCAGCTTGCTTGACTTCCAGATCAGGTTGGGTCTGGATTATAAAAACCTGGACAACCACTTGAAAAAGACTAGATTTTACCTCAGAGATAGTTGGTGGAATCCAAAAAAGTAGTCAAAGACAAAGAACCTAATTTTGGTTAAAACAGTAAGCTTGTGGCATTTTTACCTGCCACATACTCATTACCTCTCTTCAGCTCTGTGCTAGTCTTCCAACCCTGTAGCGTCTCAGTCATGGTGTAAGCCCGCAACCTAGCTGCATCAGCAGGAGGCTAGTGGAGGCCCCAGCGCACCCCACCCATCCCTAACGGCGCTCAGAGGATTGTCATTACTCGACCAGTCCTGCAGTTATTTTTACATCTCCAGTCAAGGGACCTGTATTAATTTTACCTGGCTGGTGAAATTTACCTTTATGCGTAGAAGACAATTCACAACAATTACTTAACATCTCAGATGCCTGAAGTAGCAACAACAGATGAGCAAATAAGAAGTTGACCAATTCATTTGAAAGGAAAACTTGAGGAAGAAGAATCCTCATAGACTGCTCATAGTTGGTGTTAAAAACTCTAAAATATTCCTAAGACTCTGAAAGAAGATACTGCAAAGGACAGTGGGAAATATTTTGAGATGAATGAAGATGAAACAATAGATTAAAAAACTCATGGGATATACTTAAAGAAGTGCTTAGAGGGAAATTTATAAACACATGATAAAAAGAAGAAAAATCTCAAATCAGTAACTTAAACCTACATCTGAAAGAAATAGCAAAAGAGGAGCAAACTAACCTAAAGCAAGGAAAATGAAAGAAATGATGGAGATGAAGGGAAAATAATTAACAGAAAATAAGTGAAACCAAAAATTGGTACTTTGAAAAAAATCAGTGAAATTAATCTTTAGTCTCAGTAAAAGGTTTTTGTAAGTAAAAATAGAGACAACTCAAGAATCTGTCATGGCAGAGGGCAGCCTTTTATGGCACAGACAACAACAAAGAGTAAAGGGAGGATCAGTGGCTACAGCAGGTAGCAAGCCTCTTTCCCTTCCTTATACTATATTCTGGCTATCTGCCCCAGGGTGGGTGTAGCACACACACACC